GTTAGCTATCTAGCTAACCTAACAAAATTATTTTCAGGGTCCAGTCAAATTTTTAGATACTTTAGCAAAATCGCCCTTTCCGTATCGAAAGACCACAGAATATGTTTAGCAGGGCCAGGACGCAACGAAAATTAATTATTCTGAAAAAAGGCGACGCTGAACGAAAAATGGTTTTGCGAGTACGACAGACAAGTGCTTTTGAAATGACGAAGCCAAGCCGAAGAGCAGCCATGCGCGTCAAAACGCCTTTGTCGCAGTTCCTGCGACCGGTCATAACCGCGCGCGCGATGGATACCTCTTTCTTTCTTCCCTTTTCTCTCCTCCCAGCCGTCTCGCCTCGAATTACTTCCACGAATCTCTACCTGGTCGATTACGAGATTATTACATTCGGAGCGTAAGAAGAAGGTTCCGCGACCTGACGAATTTCGAAGTTCCGTTACGGGTTCCGATCTCTCCGCGAAAAGCTTGATGACCGCCCATCATCGCAGGAAACAAAGGACGCATGATACGTGAATACGATGCGAGAAACAATTTTTAATTGAAAACCGATTCATTTTGCACTTCTTTCTTCTGCGACACCGCAGGATTATTTGTAAGAAAAAAGTTTCGTCATAAAGTCTTGTGTATTTATCAAATTATTATACAGGTAGTAAGCAGATTTGTCGTGTGAAATTTTTTGCTTCGAAGCTTCGAATTTTTGAAATTGTCCAAAGTAACAGCTCTATTAAAGATATCATTTCGACGTTAAAATAACGTCAAAATAACGTCAAAATAACGTCAGTTTGATACTTTGTAAAGTAACGTATTTTTAAAAGAACAAACTCTTTGAAGAATGTTGCACCTTGTTTAGTAGCCAAAAAGGCTGCGTGAAAAAATCAATTCATCGATGAGTTGAAGACCTATCGGCCTGGAAATAATTTCACAGAAATCATCTGATCATATTTTTCAAAGCTAGAGGTGGCCATTTTGAATGTCAATTATCATTTTGGGTATCTAACAATTAATTATTATTTTTGTAAATACAGGTTACTAATTTTTTATCACCCCGTACTCACGGAAATGGTATAGAAAATCGAAGCGCCGCGCGTGCGTCAGGAGATGACGTTTCGTCATCGTTACTCCGAAACGCCCTGTATACGTCGACCGCTTTGCGGTTTGGGAAAAACGCTCGGCCAGCGGCACGGATGACCGTGCGGAATTTGACACGCGTGACTTCGCTCGCTTCGCGCAGTCCCGATCCGGATGATCTCGTTCGCGAAGTCATATAATTACGGGGCACGATCAAAAGATGTGGAACGTCGCGCGAAAAAGCGCGCCTGACCGACTGTCCGTCCTCGTCATCGTCGAAAGAAAAGAAAGTGACCGTACGAGCGAGATCTATCTCGCCGTTCGACGGATAAAAAGGAAGGCGATCAACGACGAGTTTTCGCCGGTTGTCACGTTGCCGAAAAACAGTCCGGCCAGGACCAGCTCCGATTACTCGGGATACTTCTTAATGATATTCAAGCGTTTCGTATCCGAGCTGTTTGTCGGCTCGAAAATTCCACTTTTTCTTTTTTCTTTTTTTTTTTTTATCGATACAGCTCAATATTCTTACTTTATGCGCAGGTGCGTTAAATTTCATTGCAATTATAAAATTATTAAAATATATAGATCTATGTGTATACGTATAATGAAAAGAAAAAAAAAAGCAGAGGAAAATAAATAATTACAGATACAAAGCGAATATATTAGGAGCGCAGACTTTCAAAATGCGTTTTGTCTAAAATATGTAACCTTCAGAAAACGAGAAATAAAGAAATTTCTCACAGAAGAAAATTACGCACTTTACAGAAAATAACAATATGCCAATGAGTAGTGAAATATTAAACGAAATTGCTAAATAATTGCTAAAATTGTTTAACAAATGCATTTTGTTTGTCTAGTTAAAAAACGTAATGCACTTCGCAAGTTTTTTCCAGCATATAAATTAACGATGAAAAAACGCCTTTCTAAACGTCTCAAAGTAGCTTATAATACGAGTCTTCAAAAAAAAAAAATGAAATTTTGAAAGTCGAATCTGCTTCTCATATATAAAATTATGTGACTTTATCGAAAAGAAAGATTTAAAAAATCATATAAAGAAAAGAAATTGGAAAAAAAGTTAAAGGGCTTGTTGCAGTTGGCTACCCACATTTTGTGACAACTTTAAATTAGTAATAATAAAAAATGAAATTATAAATGGAATAAATGAAATTTCCTACTTTCCATTTTAGAGTTTATTTATTCCGTTTTTATTAAATGGAATAGCTCGCTGTTACAGCAAACCCTTCAATCAATGACATTTATATTTGTCGTACGTAAATTCAATAAATTTTAGCAGTTATTTGCAAGTTTAAATATCGAAAACCGGTTTCGGATGATTATTCCGAATTATCTACGTTTGCGTAATTAATTTATAATAATTTCATATAATTTCCAAGTTCTCGGATCTATTCGCTGACTGTCTTAGACTGAAGGATGTCTGGTAGATTTCGATTGGAAACGTCAATAAAGCCAATTATTATTTCGACATCTTATTCGCGGACGGAGTTAGCAATTTGCGGTCGTAAAAAAGGAGAATCATATACACGCAGGCAATGTTCGCGATCGTGTCAGTTCACTCGCGCTGTCTCGTTTTCATGGCGAGTTGAAAAAATATACATCCACGACTCGAATAATACATAATAATTTAATGTGCGGGTCTTTTAGAGCCGACGGAATGCGTCAGTATCGTAAGGACACGCATAACGATGCCATTCGTCATATCGCGCGCGACACCCACGATTTACATATTCGGATATAAAAAAAAGCTGGATGCGACAATAATTGCCGATTTTACGCAACGATTTTGTGGAAGATGTCTTGTCTTCGGAGCAACGCGAAAAATGACGGGAATAAAAAGATTAGACTTAAACTATCATCATTGAAATACGCCCTATATTTGGCACGAAACTTTGATATAGAAAGGATGTGAATCTGCCGCTCGGCTACATTGAAAAAAAATTTATTAAATTTTAATATATTTACTTACAGTAAATAAATATTCACGCAATAAAACAATGATAATAGTTAAACGAAATTAATAGTTTTTTGACATGAAATAAATAAATATTCACTTAGAACTATTCAAACAAGTAATATATTATATGTGTACGTAAATATACACTTTCAAAACGACATCCTAAACGTCAAAAGGAACGTCAAGGAACGTCAGCTCGTTCGCTAAGAAATTCTTCCGGGTTGGCCGGATTCCAAATGGTAGGTTTAAAGAGGACGTTATGCCTCTTCGCGTCTCTCACGGATCTCGAGTTCGCTCATCTCTCGCCTCGTAGTACGTCAAGGACTCGGGAGTGCGAATCAGGACGAACTCGCGTTCGTCCGTGTTTCTGGCATGTCGTGTTGCGTCGCATGTTACATGTGTATGTGCGTTTCACGTGACGCAATCGGATGCCAACGGTTGCAGCAAATCCCGGCGTGCTCGTGTTTCGCGGATGCTACCGGCTAACGGTCGCTGATACGCAAAGTCAGACACATACGCACGTACACACACACACACACACGCACGTGTGCGAGCGAGCAAGCGGATCTGACCAAGTCAGAAGCGGTGCCTAGAATGACGTCAAGCGCGGTGAATGGATTTCAGACTCGAGAATTTAGCTTATCGATCCGACCGGAAGAGGCGCGAGCTACCGATCGCGGAAAATTCTTTAAAAACGTCAATCGATAACGAGACGAAGAATTTTCACCAGAGAGTAATATCGAAGGGATTAGATTATTAAATTAATTTCAATTTTTCTACGAGACGCGAAAAGGAGAGGGAAGAATTTTTTCTGAATAAAACTAATGATACAAGTTGTATTTTATATCTACTAAAATTTTTCAAGCAATTTTATATTCAGTTTTTTTTTTCCACACATTTGCTGAAGTCACAATCGATGATATTCGTGTCGTTCAAAGGAGTAAAAAAATATACTGTGAAAAGTTTAAACTTTTTGAAAGGAGACAGTTTCCTTTAGAAAAAAAAAATAATTCAGTTAAATTAAACTTTGTCTTCTTCATAAAAATGCAGAAATATCTGCGATTTTACTTTCAGTTAGCTTTCCCATAACATGCCACAGAAAAGGATGTTGTGATGTGATCTATCGTAAACCAGGCAGATACAAGGGAACTTAACATTCACAATCTCGGGCATTTTTTGCTCGTGTTTACACATATTGTAAGTGAACATTACGTTACTCGCGGACGCCATGATATTATTATCTTTCAGGTTAACACTGACGCGATGCATGACATCACCAAGTTTCACGCTTTCAGAATAATCATGTAGTTCGGCCGTACTTAAATCGGGTGTAAAATCTGGAATGCCCAACATGTCTAATAATTTACATATTGGCACGTCACACTCGATCGTGGTATTGCTGATTACAAATGGAAACACCATGCTCATTTCTTGTATCCCATTATCTAGCAATTTACGAAGTTCCCGAGATCCTTCTTCGGTCGTTAGTTGTTCTATCAATTTGATCACTTTTTGAACCTCTATCAAATTATTCTCCAACTCCGACTGGTATGATGGATAGAAGTAAAACGTTGATATCATATTTTCTTTGCAAGGCACCTCTGTAATAATTACGTCTAGTTGATCGAATGAGTCTAGAAATAGAAACATTAAAATTTTAGGAATAAATCACGTTTCTCAGAAAGCAAGAAGTAATTTCGATTTAATCATTGAAAGTATAAAGGAGACATCAAAAATATGTTTCTACATATATTTTCCATCTATAATGTTTTATGATAAAAAATAATACACATTTTTTGTTTATATAATTAATTTAAAAGTTGTAATATTAAAGTTAATGATAAATAAATAGTATAAAATTAAGTGACTAGTAGTGGCCATTATTGAAATTTTTCTTCTTACAGTTAATGTGTTTGGCTAGAATTCCAATATCCTTGTCATCATTATGAACTTCAACATTATAATCTTGGTCAAATTGACCCTCAAAGTATATCGTATTCAACATGATTATTTCAGTATCTTCATCGATACTGAACGGTGGTAACAAATTTTTTATGCAGTTTTGCGTCGTGCATGTAACAATATTATTGATGAAATCCCTCACGAGGTAGGGAGCGATTTTGAAATTGCATTCCTTCACAGCATTGGTAGCTGCATGTAAATTCAGTGTATCGATAAATAACCCTTTTGAGCTATCAATTATAATTTTATAATAAATTCGACACGTATAGGAGTTCTCGGATCCATTTTTCTGAAACAAAAATAAATAAATGATTTCTATCTCTCTCTCTCTCTCTCTCTCTCTCTCGCCCTCCCCCTTTTTCTCTCTCCCCCTCCCACTCTTTTTCTTTCTTTTCCTCTTTCTTTAAGACAATAAATGTTCATTACATCTTTCACTGTAAGTTATCATAAAGTTTATTTATCAATTAAAAGTTTTATACATCCGAAAACATCAGCGATAAATCATATTCTTGCGTATTCTTTGTATGGCAGTGCTAATCACACCTGAGAGTTACTCACTATGTAACAAAAATCATTGACTCCTCCATTCTTATAATATTCTTCAACAGTGCGTTTTGATGTGCTATCAGGAATATAGAGAATCTGTCCAAGAGTAAATTCCAAATCATAGAGAGCACCGAAATATGCCAAGAGTAGACTATGATATAAGAGATGCGGGCTAAAAAAAAAATTTGTTTTCGGCTCCATCATGATACACTTCTTCAGGCATTCAAGGGCGAATTTGAAGCGAGCGTCTGTTAACATCTTTAAAAAAAATTAAAATTTTCTATAAAATTTAGTCTTTGTAAGAAAAATTATATATATATGTATATTTTTTAAATATCATAAAACCAAATTGAGAGAAATAAAAGATTACAAAATTAAGTCACAATTAATATTATATAATGAATTGGGGAATTAGCAAAAATATGTTTTATCGTGTAATGTTATAGGCATTTTACCGTGTTTGCTAAGATTAACAATTTAGTATACCTTTGATATAATTTTTAGGCTATCGACGCAGTCCAAATTAAAATTGTCGATCAACAGGCCAAAAAATTTATTTAAATCGACAGAAGTGTCAACAATATAATATAGTTGTCCAATTCAGTTTGTACCGTAATTGATGAAATTATCTCTCCAAATCTGATGATAGAATACAAAAGGATCAATATAAGCAGTCAAGATTAATCAGTAGTGTTATTTATGTATATAAATAATTTATGTATTAACGCGATTTGACGAAAATACGGTAGCCACATAAAAACTTTAAATAAAGCAAAAATTTATGGCAAGCCGTTTTACTTTTTAAATAGCATAAAATAAATTAGTCTAATGTTAAATTCTTAAAAAATAATTATCTTAAAAAAATTACGATTTTTAATAATGAATTAAAATTATGTCGTAACATATATTTCCATGAATTAAAATTATGTCGGCACATAATAAAAATTTTGAATTTCTATTATGCCTTGACATAATTTTAATTCGTGGAAATATTATTATGTTACGACATAATTTTTTTAATTCATTATTAAAAATTGTAATTTTTTTAAGACAATTATTTTTTAAGAATATTTAACATTAGACTAATTTTTTTTATGCTATTCAAAAGTAAAACGACTTGTCATAAGTCTTATGAATAGACTTTATTTATTGTTTACATAACCTAGCTATAATATTCAATAATAAGCTGTTATCAGAAAGAACTTTTCACAGCTTATATTGAAATTAGAACGTCCGACAATATTTTGAAAATAATATGTGATATCAATAAGTTGTTTAACGTATTGATTTTAGAAGAAAATAAATGTCTTTTTTTTTTTTAATTACATGATATTTAAATCTAATCTTATAAATATCAAGAAAATGTTTGCATTAAAAGATGCTGTATATCACATAGATCCTTGAATCAATTTTTACATAAAATTAAATAAAATTCTATTATCAAAATATATCTTATTTGTTTTTATCATGAAACTCTATTTTGAAGTTTGAAAAATAATTTCATTAGATTAGATTAAAGATTTTATAATAATATTACGTCTTTTGTATTACCCTGTATATTTTTTACTTATAAGAAACATGAGTATTTTGCCGCACCATCTGGTGCCGCGTAAATGCTTACTAAGCATTTATAAGTAGATATCATGAACTTTTTTACAAGATACTTTACCAAATGATAAATTTTTAATATTTTAATGAGGTCTTTAAAAAATTATTCTAAAGAATCTTCCTTTCAACAATGTTCCCTACTCTCATTAGGTATTTTCTGCGTTAATTATGCTTTGAATTTATAATTAAATTCATGATTTAAATTTATATTCACTATAATATTTTTTTTCGCGTTGCTGACGAATTATTATAATTGGAGTGAGTTGAGTAATATTTAATTATAGTTACAAATGTGTGTGTGTGTGTGTGTGTGTATCATGCTATGACATAACATAATTAAGAAATTGTTATTTTTCAGTTGCTTGCAGAAAAAGAACATAAAGAAAAAAAGAAAAGAACGTACTTTAAAAGTACATACTTTTATTACTTCAATTATTACGTTAAAATTAATATTAGGAAATTTAATAATTCCAGATATTCGAACTTATTTTCCGAAGAATTTTGTTTTTTAGTTGTGTCGTTGTAGAAAATGAGGGATATGTCTAAAAATATTTTTATTAATTTTTTTTCGTATATAAATCTCCGCATGTAACAAAGGCGATTTTTAAAATGTGTTCTATGTCTCGAGAAAACCTCTCGTATGATGTCAGTCTGTCTTTCTTCATTGTCTTATTTAATCCCGAAATTGCGACTAAATCGGTATAATTTCATAACATTTGATGAATATGATTTTTGTATCTTTGTAAATAAATTAACTGAAGTACAATAAAATAAAAATGTGAAGCTTTACACGCGGAGAGAATGAATTATGTTTTAAAATTTATCCTGAAAATAGTTGTGATACAATATTTTAAAGATTTTTATCATGCACTTCAGTAAAATTACTCAAACTTATTTTATATTTTATTAATAAATGAGAGAAATTTACATAAAATTTGTCGAAATACAATATTGTCCCAGAATTATATTTTTAGGGTAAACTCTAAGAAAAAATTCTCTCCGTATATCATTATTAAAATTTTAATACATTTTCATATATATATATATATATGTTATATATTATTTACTTCTTTACAGAAATGATTTATTTTTGTAGATTTAATTCTTCTTTTCTCGTTTAACAAATTTTTCATATTTTATATTTCAGTATATTCAAAAAGTTTGTAACATTTATTTTCTTTTGTTCGAATTGATTTCTTTACAACAATGAGGGGGAATCACAATGTTTACTAAAACAGATACAACAATTGCTTTATAATTTTTGAAACTTAAAACAAAATAATTTAAATATCGTAGATTCTTACAAAATTAACCACACCGTTTCTTTATAAGATATTAATGATCACATTATATTTGTGCATCATGTATATTATTCATATATCGACATACATATACGTATATATACAAGCATTTCAACACGTGATATCATATACCTAACCTCACTTATTTTATATATCTAACCTTTTCGATGAAAACACGTGCGTGTCCGACAGCGTGCACACGAGATTAGCGTTCTTAGGTCGTAATTTACCAAAGAAGGATGACTATATAATGATGTTTCTCACATATATTTTTGGAAATTCGGAGATTTACAATACCTTTGTTTGTGCCGGTTGCGTTGCTCTTTGAATTCTGTAGGCCGATTCCCCCACCAAGAAATTTAAAGAGTGCACGGAGAGCAAAACTAAAGACACTTTTCTTATAACCATAATACATTTGAAAAATGTAAAAAAGCCCATCAGAGCCTACATCAGCTATTCGAATGCACAGAAATTCTTTATTTTTCGTGTGAATGTAACAAGACAAATAAAATATACGTTTCAACCCTTCAATTCGGGTCCTTATCGATAGAAAATATAAATCGAAATTACATAATTAACGCAAATTCCAAGTTAATGATTCCCGACAAATTAGTTCTTTTCTATCCAAATACCAAATTAGATAAAATAAAATCGAAGTAAAATATATGCATTGCGTCACTACGTAGAATCACATCGCTCAGATTGTCAGATTTGATGTGCGTTTTCTCGCGGCTTTACGTAAAGGACTTGTGATGTCGATAATCAAGAGATACAATGATGTGGGCTCTTTTTACATTTTTCACTGACGGATTCTTTCGAAGAATCATATATATATATATATATTTGCTCATTATATATATTTGCATAATACATTTCCAAGCTATCGATTATATAATCGATTATATAAATTTAATCAATCCAGTCATTATTCCGACACGTATATTCAATTATTCTTTGGTTCAAGAAGCATACATAGATACCCGATTTGTCTCTCCGCGAGTACATTTTATTATAAATAATTCTCTTTATAATTACTTAAGTATTCAACACACACCGGGATTAAACCAATGGTCAATTCATTTTTCAGTCTCCCAATATTCTCAGAATTATGTTACAATAAGTATTGGATAAGAGAATAAAAAAAAAATAAAAAAAAAAATAAAAAAAACATAGCTTTTCATTATAAAACGTAACTGATCAAGAGACACATGCAAGAAAAATGTACCAACAGAAACGTGAGAAACTGCAGAATAATACAAACAAAAATGTTTGGAAATGAGAGAACTTTTGTTTATTAAATTTTTCTGGTTGGCAATCCCAAACGAAATCGTCGTAATCAAAATGTTTTGTAGGATTTGTCCAGACAAACTTGCACAGCTATACATAATTATGCTTAAAATTATTCAATCGCATTTCTATTATGAGGACGCACTTAAAATGCAAGTTTTCTTTATGCATTTATGACGTTATGCATTGTTTCGTAGTATGTCAAAGATTCAAACGAATTCGCCGTATGTACGTGTATGAGTTTCACATGGCACGATTGCCAACGACTGCAGCAGATCCTGCTATATGCTCTGGTTTCTTGGATGCTGCCAGCTAACCAGCTGATGCTGTGGTTGTTCTTTTTAAACAACGGCTTGTTCTTTTTAGCTGCACTGAATCTGCATTGAGTGTTCGTTGTTTCCAAAGCATAATTGTATAATAATCTTATTTTAAGTGCACGAATTGTAACAGTTCAGTTAAAAGAAATACACCTAAAGTTAGACACGCACACGTGCAAATACGTGCATGCGATACGGACAAAGCGGGTACCAAGCCAGAATGACGTCATGTCCGGTGAATGGATTTCAGATTCGAGAATTTAACTTGCCGATTCGACCGAAAGAGGCGCAAGCTACTGATCGAGTTAGAAATCAATCGATAACAAACGAAAATTTGTATTAATGTGTTGATAAATGCACTTTTATTTTTTAAATTTTATATTTATGGAACATGAACTATGCATTAAAAATACTCTAACATGATAAGCGCGTTCTGAATACGGATTAAAGAATTTTCGTACGACAATAACTCGATAATTATAAAAAGTTTAGGTTAAACTAATTTAAATATTTCTATTAGAACAATTACAAAAGGTGAAAACAAAATTTCTGATTGAAATTTTATTTTAATTTACACTTTATTTTACTTACATTTCTTCAAACGTGCAGTTGATAAAGTCGTAATTCGTGTTATCTAAACAACCCACTTATCTAAAGTCGGTATTTATAATCCGTTCTTATTTTAAGACTGTTTTAAATAATGTCATAAGATCCTAGTATGGCTCTGTGATTGGCTTATAATATCTTGAGACGTTCTCTGTACTGAGAACAAGTACAAGAACTGAGTTAGTTCAACTGACTATGACTACGTTCAACGAACTCTCAATAGTTGAGTGAGCGCTCGTTGCTATTGATGTATTCTTCCAGCTCTAAAATGCTGATTGTATGATCTAAAAGAATACATCAATAACAGCGAGCGCTCACTCAACTGTTGAACGCAATCTATGATTACCAGCCTGAAGATCTTTATGTAGAAAAAAAAGCAATAAAC